GTTGCTTGGGCGAAGAGATGTGGTAGGCGCAAAGGCAGCTGAGATCAAGTACATGAGCAGCTTCATCTTAAATACCTCGCCATGGGTTTTCATGCCCTCCAGCAAAGTTGACAGCGCAGTCGCATTAGGCATTGATGCCATTCCAGGAAACAAACAGGCAAACAAGGCTTCCTCAATCTTATTATTCACCTCATACGGGACTTTGATTTCTCCACGGGGCACACCCAAAGTGCAAAACACAGATTCCTCATCCAAAGGCAGTCTGCCACGTCCCGGAATCACGAATTCCCTAGACGCAGATTCATATATCTCATCGAGCCAGTCGCATACAGGATTTACTAGGTTCGTGCACCGAACATTCATCAGACCCTGCATCCCCATCTCACCGGCAGCTCCCTTCTGCTCATCAGTAAATCCTACGTTCAATATAGTAAGGCATTCTTGCGAAGCCCTATTGCACTGACATTTCTACTTTTACATAACACAAAAAGGATCATTTGTTGCCATGTTCAATATAGTAAAATATTAGTTCTAATAGAAGAATGAAAACTCAATGTCAAATTAAAACATAGGGGGAGAGTGTCCTCATCGCCATCTTTTGTACGACCGGTCGCACGATTCTATGGCGGTAACTCCATGAAGTCATCATCATCGTCTTGATGGTCACCGTGAGCCATTGTGCTGCGCTAAGAACAAAAACACGTTAGTGTAAAATGAAAACACAGCCAACAGATGCGGACAGAAATGCACGAAATAATGATTCACTGGATATCATCGATAACAAAAATGAAAACTGCCATGTTTACCCCAAAGTTGTAGCATCTGAAAAGGAGGTAATTGCCATGTGTTGAACATGCACAAATAGGCAGAAAATAACCAATGGAGAAGCAAATACGAAAACATGGCAATTGGATGTGTGTGTGTGTGCTTCTTTGGCAAGCAGTTGCCATGTAGCAAAATCAAGTTGCCATGTTGGCACTAATAAAAGTGGCAACTGAGACAGTAGGAACACCCATCTACCATTGTCCAACATGTAATGTGGCAAATGGCACATTGGCTTAGTAAAAGGACAGGTCACATCTAATAGGTTCAAGTTGCCATGTTAACAAACAAAAAGATATGGCAACTAAGGCAGTTTAGATAGGACAGACAACTTCCAGTCTACAACATATAATGTGGCAACTCACACCCTGGTATCATAAAAAAATGAGTTGCCATGTAATGCAATCAAATATGTTGCGCTATAACAAAACAGCATGGCAATGTAGTGAGTCTATTGTATAGTCAAACTGCCATTACTCTACATATGACATAGCAACTGGCATAGTTGGTTCACAAAAGTAGTTGCCACTTAGAACCATAGTTGTAGGTAAACAAATGCAATGAAATTGTCGTGACTGCCATTATCCCACACTTAAATATGCATCTACCTAGATATAGAAATCATACACAAATATCACTCCCTGAGTTGGATATCGTAAACTGACATTATCGTACGTATGACATGGCAACTGACATAGTTGATTCAAAAAATTAGTTGCCATCAACGATGATAGTTGTGGACAAAACAAAGTGTTTTGAAATTGCATGATTGTCATTATCCTACACTTTGAATTGCACCTAACTAGATCTAGGGTTCATATAGAACTATCATACCCTGAATTCAACAACAAAAAACGCCCTAAGAACAGTGATGGCCATAGCCTTCAAGTCAAAATCAGAACTAACAACTAGAAATCACTCGCACAGGAAAATGCAAGAACTAATCTCTCGTATATAAGGATGTGGTTGCCGACCGGGCGAGCCTCACCGGCATGACTACCACCGCGACGGCGAGAAAACTGCCCAATGCCGCCCTAAATGGTACGCACGCAACTCCTGCACCGACGGGGACACCGGAGCGCCGCCAATCCGCCGAAATCTCGAGAATGCTCGAGGGGAATGTGACCATGGAGGGAGGGGGCAGATTTCGCAGGGAGCAATGCGACCGGCTTCGATAGCCTTACCTTCTCACTGCGGCTGCTCCGGCGACGACACTCCGATCCGGTGAACCCCAGCAACGGCCGCGAATGCCGTCGACTCTTCCGCTGCCGCCTCCTCCTCCTCTCGTCTTCTCCTCCAATCGAATGGAACTGATGTGGATGGTGGGTTGGGGAGAAGTGAATACGAATGGGAGTAATGAACCGTAGTGAGGGGAGGAATGGCGAGTCGTAGGAGAGGCCAACCGAAGTCGTGCGCGGCGTGCGGGCGCGACGGCAGTTCCACCGCACGCCCCGACCCGCAAACCATTGTCGTCCGAGGGAGAAACGGCGTGCGGGCGAGCTAACTACACACCACACACCGGCCTTGTCTTACGTGGCACACGAAATCTGCCTTCCTGTGTCAAGATTCATGCAAAAATGAATCGACGGCGATCAAGACATGTGGGCGAGTTGGAGAAGTGCCACACGTGTGGGCATTAGTGTTAGGAGAATAAAGCTTTTAACAGTTTTGGCGACAACAGGTAAAGTACTGTAGAAAAGAATTGATGTCCGTCTTGGCCTCTAGGGCGTTTTCAATCCGGTCTCGCCGGATCATCCGCCCGCAACGGTGCGCACCATACCGCACAACTAAAAAAATTTAACCACGTGCATGATGCCATGTTGTTGACGTGCCTGAGGGCATCGGTACGGCGGGTATTCGTTGTTATTGATGAAAACTAAACCAGTTGAAATTTGAATCTGGCCGACCGCGAGCTTCTCGACCCCTGAGAGAGATCTCTTCAAGAACACAAACCACCGTACGCGGGCCGCATGGTGGGCGCCAACTATCGTGGTTTTGTCACGGCAGATGTCTTAGTGTGAGGACTTAGTCGTGAGGCCAACGCATCTACGTAGTAGCTTGAGAGGGGTTGAGTGGGACGAGAGACGCGAGGTTTTTTACCCAGGTTCGACCCTTCACAGTGGAGGTAAAAGTCTACATCCTGCTTCGTTGATATTGATCATGGTGCTCACGATTACAAGGGTGATCTTTGGCTACCTCTCTCCCGAGAGCTATTGACTTTGTCTGTCTAAAAAACTCTCCCCCTCTTTGGGTGCCCTGCCCCTCCTTATATAAGTTGAAGGGGCGGGTTACATGTGAAGTCCTAGTAGGATTACGACTAATCTATTACAAGTGGAATCCTAGTCTTACTTCCTTTGTAGGGGAATACTCCTTACGTCTTTCTCTTAAGCCGGCTATCATAACATGAGCCGGCCTACTAGGCCTTGGGCCTTGTCATCAACCTGACCTGCCGTCGGGGTCATTAGTGAGTCACTAGACCAGTGAATCACCAGTCTTCGGGTGGGTTACCGATGAAACGCCAAGTCCCGGTCGGGTCATATATCCGGCCGGGTCATACCGCGGGGTATATCCCCGACACAAGGTCTACATCTAGGTCGAGAGGGACATGGTCTACATTGAGGACTACTCTATGGCGAGTCAAAGGTGGCGCCGATGAGCAGCTGCTCGAGCATGCGATGAGGAAGGCGAGCTCGGGTCAGTGGAGCGCGGTGACAGTAATAAGAGTTATCCGTAATGCATTTTCCATACCATCCGACTGTATCTCCGTATGTCTTCTTTCTTGTGCTATAAATACAAACATATGCAAAAAAAACTATAATGGGTGGTCCACATTATCTCTACAATCAGTTTAAGTTGTTCTGAACTCATAATTTCTCGGTTACAACACATATACATGTACACTAACCCTATTAGAGAGCAAACAAATCAGCTAAATGAGCAACAAGCAGCCAGGCACACCATCACGTCTCGGGTGGCGGCCCAACCACTAGTACACTATGATAGTGTGCGTCCGAATAGCGTTTTTATTTTTCTCTAAAATTATTTGCTTACTCCTGACAAATGAGGCTCACAATGATAACTTGTCATTGTAAGATAGAAAGAACTGACATGTAGGGCTAGGGGTATTTTGATCATATAACTATCTCACTACGATAGTGTGCGTCCCACTTCATCCCAATAGCGTTTTTATTTTCCTCTAAAATTATTTGTTTACTTACTCGTGACAAGTGGGGCTCACACTTATCATTGCGAGATATAAAGAGCTGACATGTTGAATTAGGGGTATTTTCAGCAATATAACATGTAACAACGTCTAATGGCATTCGATACAATTTTTTAGGTGTCTAATGGTATCTTTGAACAAACACATGACATTTTCCAGCAATTGTAGCTTCCAATGGCAAAACTAAGTAGCGGGACAAAAGTAATGGCCAAACTGATATAATGAATAATTCTGGTCAAATTATCTTTTCAGGTGTCATTTAACACCGTAGTAGTCAAAGATGAACGTAAGTGTTTTAACTTCATATATATGAATGATTATCAAATCAAAGCTTAGCCTAGGCTGACAGGATTTGATGCATATTTCCTGATTATGTGGTTGCAGCAAATGTCTAACGGAAATGTATAACACATTTCACATCATCCTAAAAATGCACTGATTTAGCAAGTCGTCCAGGGTCATCTAGTAAAGGGGGGGAACAAAAGGCAGACATTATTACAGGAAGAAATAAACAATTATCATATCACAATAAAGCCTTCCCGCATGGCTCGCTCACCTGTCGGCCAGTTTTTTGATAAAATCCACACCACCCACCCAAGTATAGTTTTGGGTCAAACATAACCAGACACATGGTAACTCAAAGAAGTTATGATGCCAACAAAAGAAAGCAGCATGCAGTCAATACAGAGGGCAGTACATCTGACATAATATACTAGTTCATGGAAAGTTCTTATTGCAGATAAGCGATAAGAATAGGTGGTGAGACAAGATGGATACATATAATAAAACAAGGTGAGGAATCCTTGAGAGTATTCATAATCCTAAAATTAACAGACAAATGAAAGACAGTCCAGAGAGATGATCATCCATAATCCACTACCCCCTCCATCGACACATAGGCATTATTCTCAGATCATATAGTCCAGTTCATCTCACATGTAAACTCCTTCCACTATCAGAATGACATCCTCTCCGGTCCCAGCTCATCTTCTTGCAAGGGGGGATCACAGGTCATTTCCCTATTCACGCCTTTACCTTCCATGCCAAATTTAGCATGTTTCAGTAATAGTTTGGAAGAAACAAAAAGCTAATCCATGCACAACTTCGTAGCACGGCTCTAATATATATAACCACTACTTTAGACTTCCTTGTGAAACGGACTGCTGAAAAAGGCCAAACTTGTTTACAAGATGTAGCGCTCTATAAGTAAATACTACCTCCGTCCCATAATATAATATGTTAACATCTTGTATTATGGGCCGGAGGGAGTAGTTTATAGTAGTAGAATGCAGCAACACCCAAGGTGAAATGTGTGACAGGAAAAGTTAATTGTTCCGGTGAGAATTTCACCGCAACAATAGGAACTGTGGTATCCAAAATGCTAGCATTTGACTTGAGTATTGGCCGTATATCTGCTTCCACCACATGTTACACTCATGTGTTGTCGGTGTTGTGTATCTATAATATAATGTGTTCAACACCTCATCAGGTTCTTCCCAAATCCATAGCACCAAACGTCACCGATCCTAAACCTGTCTTTGAGATGAACGGTATGATTAACCTAGCATATCTTATTTCGTACTAAACCCACCCTACACTGTCTATGTGTGTGATATGATGATACCCCTCCACCAAGAAGAACTTGCATTAATCTGGTAATGTAATTCAGCATGCAATGGAAGTGGCAGATGGTAAGGCAGCGGTGGAAACAGTTACCTGGACCAACTTTGAGATATTTGGAGATCCTACTTGAATCGTAGCCGGTGGACAAGGCGATAGACCTTTTGGGGCTAAACTCGGCCACTCTCTGGACAGTCTTGTTCTTCATGTCAACAGCAAGCACCCATGCTGTGTGTTCCTTGTCACGATAGTCAATCTTGGCTAGGAGGTAAAGAATGCAATCATCTTGGAGACTCAGCTTGGGCAGGCCAATGTCGAGAGTCGACAAGGTTGGCTGAGCTGTGACACCTTCATGGACGTTCAGCTTAGGCAGCGATGGTTCAGGTATATCAGAGGAATCAAGCTCAAGCTCATGATGGATGTGCCAAGCCTTTTTGGAGAAGACACCAGTCTTGATGCTCCATATTGTGGCCTTCCAACCATGGTCGTGGTGCAGCAGCTCAACAAACCTGATGGAGCCATTAAGGAGGGAAACATCCCGAACAGCCGGCGATCCAATTGCATACTGCGGCTCGGTCGGTAGTCTTAAGAAACGGAGCTTGGGGCTTTTGTCCAGCACGTTGCAGAAGGTGATCATATGTGAGAGATCGACCCAGGCTACTAGGCCTAAATCTCCTTTTATGGTGATTGCCTTGTATGTGGTGAGCTGGTAGGGGACTGAATCGACATTCACCAGCACTTTGCTCCAGGAGTTGGTACCAGATTGATACAGGCAGAGGTGAGAAGGATTGCCATGCCCAAACCTATCAGCTTGTGCGGCAAGGACGAAGGTGCAGTCAGGTTTGCCATTGCTCACAATGGCAAAGGAGTGATCGTTGACTGGGTGGTCGTCGCCCGGCTGCTTGATGTGCTTGAGCTCAGGGACGCTTGCGTTGTAGACAAAGTAGTGTTGTTTGAGGCGAAGCGAGGCATAGGATGGGCGGCCACCCACTACTACGGATAGAAGGACGAGGCCGCCCTCAGTCTCTGTGGCGACTATGTGAGGCGGGTAGGCGAACACGGTGTGGTCGTAGTCGGTGGCATGGACGCAGAGGTAGGAGACTTGCGGCGGTTGGGCGGTGCAGAAGGTGACCTTGATTTTCCCCCGGAGACCGAGACCCTCCAAGCCGCAGTCGGCGGTGGTGGCGTTGAGGCGGTCGGCAAAGTAGGCGTGTGGCTCGATGAGGACGAAGCTTGGCTGGTCGCCACCGCCGTCCGGGTAGCCATAAGCAGGGGGATTCAGGAACGGGGGATCCTGTGTGATTGTGGGCCTGCGTAAAATCAATACCTTCCGCTCTCCTGCGGATGGACTGCTGTCAGGCTTCTTGACGGCTTCCTCCTCGCCGAGGTAAGAAGCAGCAAAATCAGCCAGCTCGCTGTCCATGGATTCCAGATCGAGAGCCGTCAAGCTCTTCCTCTCCGGTGTGTGGATGGATCCTAGATCGGTTGGCTCTCCTCTCCGCCTTGGGTATGTGGATGGATTTGTGTGGGGAGGGGGGAGGTTGGGGACGATCAGGGTCGGAGATCGAGATGAGATTGCAGCCGGAGCAAAAGGGGAGCAACCAGCCGCCTCAGCTCCTCCTATTGCGAGAATGAGCGGTGGGTAGGGAGACTGGGTAGCCCCATCGTTGCTAGGGTTATGTTCCCTTTAACCGCTAGTTTGGGATGGACCTTGGTCCTCCACCGTGGGCCGCAGCCGGCCCACGGTGGCGATGCAAGTCTATCTTCTACCTCGAAAAGCACCGCGGCGCTTCTATTCCTCGCGTTCAGCGAGACCTGGGGAGCGCTCGCGTCGATGAGAGAGGCAGTGCACATGGGCCGGCCCAGGTTCGCTGTTGGGCACATTCTCAGTTTTGTTTTACGTTTTCTATTGTCTTTTTTGCTTTTAGATTTGTAGTTTTGCTTATACTTTAAATATTCTAAATATATAAGTATAAAATCCACTCTAGCATAAACATTTGAAAAATATTGAAAGAGTATTTAAAAATGTAGAAAAACGATTTGAAAAATGTTGAACGAGTATTTAAAAAATATTGAACAAGTATTTGAAAAATATTGAACACGTATTTGAAAAACTATTGTACAAGTATTTAAAAAAGGTTGATCATGTATATAAAAATGTTGAACAAGTATTTTAAAAATGGTGAACATGTATTTAAAAACTATTGTACAACTATTTGAAAAAATATTGATCATGTATACAAAGATGTTTAACAAGTATTTGAAAAATGTGAAACAAAATTTCCATGTGTTTGAAAAAAATGTTGACAAGTATTTGAAAAAATGTTGATCATGTATATAAAAATGTTGAATAAGTATTTGAAAAGTGTTGAATAGTTGTTTGAAAAGTGTTGAACAAGCATTTGAAAAAATTGTGTGCAAGTATTTGAAAAAGGGTGAACAAGCATTTAAGAAAATGTTGAACAAGTATTTGACAAAATTTTGAACAAACATTTGAAGGAAAACCGAAAAAGAAACAAAAGCCCGGCGAAGAAAAAAACAAAAGAAAGCAAAGAGAAAAATGAAAAAAAAACTGTAAAAACAAATGGAAACCCGGCTTAACTCGCCTCAACTACAAAACGCTTCTCATTCTTATCATGAGCCCGACTTGGTTGGAGTGGCTAGCAGAGCTAGATCTTCCAAGAAGATTAGGTATCGAATCCTGCTTCTCCCATATGTTATTTTTCCTTTTATGCGTGAACATGGGCCAGCCCGATTACACAAAACGCTTCAGTGCGACATCCCGCGACAATCGCTTAATGCGATAAATAGTCTTTGCGGAAAAGCACTGCGGTGACTATATGCGTCCAACAGCGCGCAGACGCACAGAGTGACCAGCGACTGAGCCGGCCCACTAAGAGGAAAGGAAGGAGAGAGCGACGTAAAAAATAACCGAAACCAGAGAGGCGCTGCCTGGGATCGAACTCGCGACTTTTGATTTCGTGTGACACAAGTCACTGGAGATGACGGTTGTTGCTGCTATAAGGAAAGCGCGATTTATTTTTTAAATCTCAACGAAGCGGCACATTTAAAACAAACTTTACACATTTTTTAATGTTTCATGAAAAATTAGGAAAACAATGAAACGAAATAATTTTTTAATTCAAAACATTTTTTACTCCGCGTTATTTTAAAACTTGAACAAATTTTTAATCCCGAACATTTTTTAATCTATGAAAAAAATGTATGGAAAAAACTTTCTAATTCCAAACAAAAATAGAAAACAGGAACATGCTTTGAAATCATGAACATTTTTGTAAAACGCGAACATCTTTTGAATATGTGAACATCTTATGATATATGAACATTTTTTGAAAAATGAGAACATTTTATCAAAAACACTAACAATTTTTGAAACATTAGAACACATTTGGAAATTCTAGACAATTTTTGAAAAATGAGAACAAAATCCGCAGTACCCTTTTAAACACAATGCAGTTCGTATGATTCAGTTCATTTTACCTGACAATGCAGCTCGGCCGTTTTGTGTAGGAAATGACGTTGAGCAGAAACAAAATGCCGCGCATAATTGACAAACCATGCACCATCAACTTTCGGAAGAGTCAAGCTTTTCCGGAAGAGACACTGGCTGGGTTATCCATGAGATTCCTCGAGGATTATTCATAACAACAAACATGGTGCAATACTCTTCGAAAGAAGATTTTTTTTCCATGAAGAAGAGGTAGTCGAAGATGGCGACGATGTCACCTTCATGTGGGAGGGCACTCACCAACAGGATGATGAAGATGATGACGATGAAGATAAGCCAATAAAATTTCTCATCCCAGAGTACAAGCACGAGTTCACTACATTTGGACAGCATGTCCAAACAGAAAACAATGATGTTGTTGACCATGATGTTGCAGAAGATGATGATTATGATGATGTGCCGCCACTCCAACAATTTCAAACCAATCCAGTGAGACATCACCACAACACTGGATTACCACCGCGTCCACCTGCTGCACCACAAAACAAAGCTCAGTGTGCACCTACTGCACGACAAAATAGAGCTCGACATGCACATGCTGCACCGAAAAATGTAGCTCCAAGTGCACCTGCTGCATCAAGTTCAACACTGTGACCACCAAGGGTGCCTCGGTCAGAAGTCAACGGCGGGTACAAGTCCTCCTACTATTGCCACCGTGAGATCCTCAACTACACATATCTGCTATAACTCTATCATGTCCAATACAACTCGGCGAGCTGCAAACGGCATCGGATGAACGACATTACACACATGTAAGTTTATGTCCTGAAAAATAATAATATTTGTTGTCCATTCAGATAGCATTGCAGTGCACTGACATTTTATGTGAAGTTTGGCCTAACATCTAATACAGTCGACTCTTCCGAAAACATAGTAACATTGCAGTGCTTTCTTAACTCGTATGCAGTCCTCGTATTTAAATAGAACAGTACACTTTGTCTCATAGAGCATTGCACTTGATGCAGGATAAAAACATGCCGCCAAACCTCATACTTGTCCCTGGAATGAAGTTCACCTCGTACGACAATGCATGGGACTTTTACAACACTTATCCAAGATATGCGGGGTTTGGCATATGCAGGAAGGCGAAACACAAAACAAATGCCTACATTGTCTGCACAAGAGAAGGGACGTGCAAGCAGACTGTGGCAGATTATGATCGGAAACGTGAGAAGACATCAAAAAGGATTGGATGCAAGGCAATAATTAGAGTCAAAGAGAGGAAGAATGAGAGTTTTGTGATACAAACAGTTGATCTTAACCACAATCACAAGATGCTCGAAAGCCCCAGGATGCTTTTGCACATGCACTCACACAAAAGAGATGATCCTTTGATTGACAGTTGGTGAAGGACATGCAGCTGGACAATCACACACACAGATGATGTCAACGCTATCGCATATGTCCGATGGTTTGCAGTTCATGGGTCATACTAGCCGCGACTGGGTCAACAAGTAAGCACGTCACAGAACATATCACTTGAGCATTCTGTGGGTAATTATTTCTTGTTTGATAAGATGAGTTTGCATTACGTTTGAAATGCAGTAATCGTAAGTTTGCTAGAGAAGAGTCTCAAGATGACGCCAAGAAGCTTCTGGATTTCTTCGAGAAGCTAGAAAAGATCAACACAGAGTTCTTCTATGATTACGACGTCGATGCAGATAATCGTGTAAGATGTTAGGGAACGCAGTAATTTAAAAAAAAATCCTACGACCACGCAACATCTATCTAGGTGATGCATAGCAACGAGAGGGAAGAGTGTTGTCTACGTACCCTCGTAGACCGAAAGCAGAAGCGTTATGACAACGCGGTTGAAGTAGTCGTACGTCTTCACGATCTGACCGATCCTAGCACCGAAGGTACGGCACCTCCGTGATCTGCACACATTCAGCTCGGTGACGTCCCATGAACTCTAGATCCAGCTGAGGTCAAGGGAGAGTTTTGTCAGCACGACGGCATGATGATGATGTTGATGAAGTTACCGACGCAGGGCTTTGCCTAAGCACTGCAACGATATGACCGAGGTGGAAATCTGTGGAGGGGGGCACCGCACACGGCTAAGACAACTGTCAACTTGTGTGTTCTAGGGTGCCCCCCTGCCCCCGTATATAAAGGAGTAAGGGAGAGGACGGCCGACCCTCATAGGGCGCGCCCCAAGTAGGATTCCTACTAGGAATCCTATTCCTAGTAGGTTTCCAATAAGGGAATAGAGGGGGAAGGAAGGAGAGGGAGAGAGGGAGAAGGAAAGCGAGGCGCCGCCCCCCCCCCTCCGTAGTCCAATTCGGACCTAAGAGGGAGGGGGCGCGCGGCCTGCCCTAGCCGCCCCTCTCTCTCCACTAAGGCCCATGTGGCCCATTAGTTCCCCTGGGGGGGTTCCGGTAACCCTCGGCACTCCAATTTTATCGGAAACTACTACGGAACATTTCCGGTGTCCAAATATAGTCATCCAATATATCAATCTTTATGTCTCGACCATTTCGAGACTCCCCGTCATGTCCGTGATCACATCCGGGACTCCGAACTACCTTTGGTACATCAAAACACATAAACTCATAATATCGATCATCATCGAACGTTAAGCATGCGGACCCTACGGGTTCGAGAACTATGTAGACATGACCGAGACTCATCTCCAGTCAATAACCAATAGCGGAACCTGGATGCTCATATTGGTTCCTACATATTCTACGAAGATCTTTATCGGTCAAATCGCATAACAACATACGTTGTTCCCTTTGTCATCGGTATGTTACTTGCCCGAGATTTGATCGTCGGTATCTCAATACCTAGTTCAATCTCGTTACCGGCAAGTCTCTTTCCTCATTCCATAATGCATCATCCTATGATTAACTCATTAGTCACATTGCTTGCAAGGCTTATAGTGATGTCATTAC